CAGTCCGGAGGAAGCTAAGGACGATTTCTACCGCCAACTCACCGATCTCTGCAAGAAACGCCGTGATACTCGCCGGAGACCTAAATGCGCAGGTCGATAAACTAGAGGTTCATAAACGCGAACTTGGGGGTCAAAACAGCCATGATACTTGCGGGACGTATAACGGCGATCGAGTCCTGCAACTGTTCGACGACCACGGCTTGTTCCTTTCCAGCACCAATTTCCGACGTTCCTGACGCCAACTAGTCACCTGGTGACCTCCGGCGCCTGGTTAAGCTTGGACGCATATCGACCACATCGTTGTTAGTTACCGTTGGCGAGGCTGCATAACGGACTGCAAGTCAATTTGGAACACTTACCTGACTCTGGATCACGCGCTCCTGTGTGCTAAGTTCGTTCTACGTTTTGGAGGCAACCAACAGCGTCGCCGGAAATGGCTTGATACAGACAAGCTCGCTGCCCCGGATGTTCTCGGCGCATTTTAGAACACATTAGCCAACCTACGTTCTCTTTTCTCTGATGTTGAGATACACTGGGCACAGATCCATGCGCCTTACAAAAGTCCGCTACCCTAGTCTGTGGTTTCATTAGACGATCTGCTAGTCATTGGATCTCTGCGCGTCGTCGAATACCTCCCGCCGGCGTTAAGTACAACGCACTACGCAGAACCACAGGTGCTGAGCTCAGACAGCTGTTCGGGAAGGATCGCGAGGTTTGGTGGATACCGCATCGTTGAGATGGAGTGGGCAACCTCATCAGGAACCTCCCGAAAACCTATTCGCTCCGCGGGAGGCAGAAGACCAAAAGTGAGTGAGGTTTCGCGTGAAAATGACAGTGAACTAATTCACAGTCGTCTGCTGTGATGGGCAGAGCACTTTGAAGATCAGTTCACCTGGCCACCAGCCACCTTGTGTTAACAACCTTCCGGCACAAACAGCTGACTATCGCGCAACGATAAGACGGCATCAAGGAGACATTCGTTGCGGCTTTTACTTCCCCGCGTCATAATCAGCCATTACCCAGCAAGTAACTCAGCACCAAATACACTTTAGACGGGCAATCCGGGTAGGAGACGGCAGCAGACGCACCACTGGTGTCGGTTGCGTGCCATGTCCTGTAAAGTCACGAGCTAAGCACAAGGCGAGACAGACCAATCACACACAGTTTGGTTGTCATTGACTTCATTTCGCGCTGCCAAGTCAACTTCTGTCCACCTCGAACCTTGTGCCACCATACACCTGGTAGACTAAACAAGACCCTCCTAGGTAAGCGGTGACCAGACATGCGTAACACGTGCCCAAGCCAAAGCAACTTATTCTGTGCTACCTGTTATTCTAGGAACTAGCTTGGTTATCACTACCTACTACTCGCCTACGCACATCACCGTTGCGGACACACTGGTTCCATCCGACACTAGCAATGCTTCACAGACAACGATGACGAAGACTTGAAGACGCCTCAGATCTTCAGACCGAAGGGACCCAGTTTCTTTACAATAGAACAGGACGACCCTCACTGTGGTCTTGTATACACGGCCTTTTAGACGGGGGGAAACTTCCTTCTCTCTCCAGAGATGTCGCAGGTTCAAGAAGGCAGTTTTGGTTTTTTGCAGTGCGGGAACGGACTTTAGTTTCTATGCGCCCATTGTTACTGATGCAGCTGCCAAGGTATTCGAATTGATCAACCACCTCGAGTTCCTTGGTACCCAGAGTCAAGGGTCATCAAGTGACTGGGGGTCCTGCAGCAGCACTTTGCATTTTGAAGGTGAGAAGCGCATGCCACATAATGGGACCACTCTGGACAAGCTATCCAGCGTTGATCGTCCCACCGCAATATTTTCGAAAAGCAAGACGATATCGTCCGCAGAATCAAATTCAACTCGCATTTCACCCGGCAGGACTTTGACGCCTACATCGTGAGATTCCGTAACGAAACGCCCCATGATAGAATCCACGACGAAATTGAACCAAAGCAGGGAAATCGGATAACCCTGACGAACGCCATTTGTGGTCGGAAAACAACCCGACTGGTCACCGTAGACCCTGACTCGGCCTGTAGTGCTCGAGTATAGAGCACGAAAGATGTTCACATATTTCATGGGAACACCTTTCTGTGCAAGTATTTCGGATAGAATCGATCGATCGACTGAATCGAGCGTCCTCTTGAAATAAAAAACAGCTATTGTCGATCTGTGGAATGCATGACGCTGCCCTAGCACCTGCCGCAGAGTAAATTGATGGTGTTTACAGCCACTTGGACGGAAACCGGCCTGCTCTTTCCTAATCCGAGATTTCCGACCCACAGTGTGGCGACGAACGAGAATCGAGGCCAGTACTTTTATCACAACTGACGTGAGGCTAATACCCGTGTTGTTAGCACGGTCTGCACGACTTCCCTTCTTGTCTATTGCCACTAGAATCTATTCGCTCCAGTTAACCGGGACACTTCCTTCCAGATATGTTCGAATAGGGAGGTCGGTGCTTTGGAGAGGACCTCACCCCCATCCTTAAATAGTGCAGCTGGGAACGAATCAGGGCAAGTGGCCCGAAAACGATTGTGGGCTGTGATCGTGTTTCGGACCTCGGCCTCCGACGGAGGCTCTAAACTAACCGTCCATATTTTATTCTTCATCACTCGGCAACATGTAGCCAGCTGTGCTGATCTTGATAGTGTTCCACCCAACGAGCCATACGGTGTTCCTTATTTTGTATTAGTGTACCCGCGCTTTCTCCTATTGTCTCACTGACTCCTGGTTTTTTGGGACCAGTGGTGCGGATTGTGATAGGGGCTGGGAATGTTGGCGATTGGATGTGCTGTAATGCCGATGGAACGTCACAGGGCCGACCGATACGGAGTGAACATGTTGCCGGAAGCAGCTTGGTCAGCCAATCAGGAACTAGTTGGCCCATGATCGCGTCCAGCCTGCAACCATCAACTGAACGTGGAAGTGACCACTCATGCGCCGGCAGGCGAAGGAGCGCATACTCGTGCACCCTTGAGCCAAGACTTGTAGCATTGGCCCGAGGGAAGAAGCGCGCGGGCCAAATCTCGCCAATCCTACCTCCATTAAGTAAGTCAAGGTGATTTTTGACAGGGTGAACGTAGCGAGCAAGTATAAACCAATGGAAAAAGAGTCTGTGACACAATGCAAATAACAGGAATGAGCCATTGAAACGGACTGTTGTAAATGGTGTGTATACTCTAGCAATAATCGGGCATCATTTTAATAAACGATTTCATGGTCCCGCTCTGCTAAATGCAGGCGATAAGACGACCCTTGATACTCTGTGCAACGGCGGATGCAAGATGAAGTTTGTGTTTGAAGAAAAAGTCATGGTTGTGTGTGGACTGCGATATTGCCAGGGCGCCCAGACCTAGACAGTAGGACGATTAGGGTCCTCATCCAAAACCTTTGGCTCAAAACCCTATCTGCAAGGCAGCGGGGAGGTAGCAATGATTTAGTTTTACGGCAGTGTACGCCATCCCATTTGCAAACTTCCAACCTGCATTACCAGGAGACCGAGTTTGTCTGACCTCTAACCATTGACCAACCTGGTAGAGGTGGCTCACAATGGGCCCAGAGGCACCACCCAGTATAGCTCAATGAGTCAAGGAGGTACGCAAACCGTCGGACCACGTTAAGGTCCAGTCTCGTTGCGTCGGTGCCCTGCCAGTTCCCAGCAGGAGTCCCTTAAGCTGAATCGTTGCTGTTGAGGTGGTCATTATCTTTTCTTTGACCACTGCTTGTCATGGAATCTCGAGCCTAGCACACCGTGCTCCTCGTTTGTCTACCAACAAATCTTAGCCTAGATACATGTTATACATTTGTTGACCCTGCTCTTTCCCGACAGCTGTCCCTGAAGCTGGATCGTTGCCGCTTGAGGCTATCATTGACTTTCCTTTGATCATACTGCTTGTCGCTGAATCTCTCGAATCTAGCACACCGCGTTCATCATTTGTTCCGCGCACCGACAGATAACCGACCAGACGCATACTACACATCTGACGCTCCTTCCTGTTTCTGGCAGCAGTTCTCGAAGCTGGATGGTTGCCCTTGATGCTATCATTGACTTTCCTCTGACCACACTGCTTGTCGCGGAATCTCTCGAATCAAGCACACCTCATCAGTTGTTCATCAGCAGGTCGAGACTGACTAGGGCTACTGTGCGCGCCGAGGATAGCGCCTGTCAACAGGTGGGATAATGTAACAGGTTCGAGCGTCACCTTGCGGTGATTTTTAATCTAAGGAGATAGTTGTGCCTTGCGTAGACGGCCATAGATTCTTCTTTTTGCCTTCACATTTAGTTTATTGTGATCTCTTACTAGGTGCTTGTGAGCACACAGCCGCCTACGAGGTATTTGCTTTCCATTGCAGCTCTCCAGGCGTAATACGACCTACATACGTACTGGACACGGAAACCCTCGGAATCCACGACCGGACGCATACTACAATAACGTTACAAATTTTGCATGTTACAACCTACATCCTAAATATATGACATTTCCATGGTTGCAAATCATAACCGTCAATCCTTTCAGGATGTCCGACTGGCAGTCTGGACAGAGGCAACGCAGCCATCAAACTATTTGTTCATCGTCCGTGAATGCAGCGGTTCGATAATCCTTCGATTGCTTATCGTTAAACGGTCGCTCGACTTTCTACAGCTGTTGATATCCTACCTAGGTAGGATGTTGTCGAACCTAGCCTATATTGTGACTGTTGTTTCCACTTTCCTTCGCACTCCTATTCCCTCATTGGTGTTGTTAGAACCGCCATCTCACTCTCGGTCCTCCATCGGCATTTATATTAACGCCGTCCAGCTCACTACGAGATGTAATACAGGCACACCCTCCCCCCAGCTCCACATGTTACTAGGTGGTTGTGATGTAACCGTCCATCCCTTTACGATGTATCTGTTTTGTATTTCAGCCCCCGATTCCCAATCGCCCGGGACACAGAAGTCCTCAGAATCCTTGCCCGAACGCATAGTGCACTGCCCATGAACATTGTGTCATTTCTTATTAGACATGAGATCAATCGATTCGAATGCGTTCATCCACTCATTTATGCTGCATACGATGTATTGGACAAAGTTCACGATCCGGTTATTTCGGAGAAAATTCGGAATCACTTGATCGCCATTGAAGATTCTTTTGTGAATAGCCAAGAGTGGACGCTGTGCCGCTCCGTCACCGAAGTGCGACTAGTAAGCGTTGTACTACTTATCTGGAGTTTTAAGGGTGTTTTAGGTTCTCAGCATTCCGGAAAATCGGCTTTGGTACATTATTTTCTAACCGGCCTTTTTCTTCAAGATGATTCACCTGAAGGTAACTGCATACTATAAGATCGGAGATTAACATGCCTTCTTTATTTTTTGATATTCCAACTCTCTTCCGGCCCTTAGAGTTTTTTCGTTTTACATTATGCTGATTTTAAATTTAATCATTGGATTGTAGAGAGCACATGGGAATTCCAATCTCACCTCCTTCATTTTTGAATCATTGCGGGAAAGCCGCGAATTTCATTAATTAACTAAATAAAGTTTTTATTCTCGACAACGCAAGTCACGTCTTTATAGGCGTGGTCACGTTAACATAACAAAGGTGATCAAAAATGTGTAGAAATCCCATATGTTTGCCATAACCGTGTATGTTTTTGTAAAGTTGTATATACATATGTACTTGTGTTTGAGAAGATATTCTCGGAGGTGTACCTGGGCGAAATCGTGAGACACGTGCTAGTGTACGTGCTCGAACATCTCCTTTTTCGAGACCAGATGCCCGACACATTTTGCATTAAGGATGCCGTATGGACCAAGTCCTTAACTGAGACTGAAAACTTAATTTGCTTTCTCATTTTCCTTTGGTTTCGGTGCGATTTCCGATCTGGTGATAAAGTCCCTCCCACGAAATGCGAATCCACAACATTGCAGTCATCTTATCTATCCTGACCTATTCCGTTTCATATTCATGAGTTGATCTGAGCTCCTCTTTTTTCATACTCCATTTCTTATTTACTCTCATTTTACGTGGTGCGAGAATTTGTCACACATTTTTATTTTCTTCTTAGTATGTTTGCATACGAACTATTTACAGCCTTTATTTTTTCATACCCTTACAATTGAAGCGTTTTACTTTGTTTTGCGTAATTGGTCATGCTCTGCCTACACTTGAGCAGTGATTAATTCGCTAGCTCACGCCTAGCATACTTGCTTTGCTTACTTGCTTATTTGTCTACTTATTTAATTGCCTTATTTCCTTTAATACAATTTTTCACTCTCATCATCTTTCGGTGTAAGCCACTTGTTATTTTAGATTCCATATCTTGTTCAGCACAGGTGCCGTAGCTCATTCTTTCACAATGTCTGGAATTAATGACTGGATGCTCTACGCTTTTCTTATATTGCTGGAGGGGACGGGGTGCACGGTCGTTGTGGCCGTGCTAGGCTCGAAGAGCGGTTCCATGCACTCAGTGTGGAGTGGACTACGGTCCAGTCACCGCCTTGTGTGCGCTTGATTCCCCAAATACAGTGTGCTTGTGTTTGCCTGTGAAGGAGTGTGGGCCGGCTCCGTTGATGAAACGTGGCTCCCATCCACATGCCTCCAGGTCTTATTCCTTCGGGTTTACACTGGATATGGGGTGTGTGGTTGGAGCTGTGGGTGGTGCAGCGCAAGCCATCCATGGTCCTTCTGTAGGCGCAGGCGTCCTGTGGCTGGCCGCAGTGACAGGCAAATCCGAAACCGGATGCCGCCAACCATGTATGTATGTGTGTCCCATGCTGAGGCTGATGTTGCATTCTTGATGCTTCTTCACCGCAGCTGGGCTAAACCAACTTACACTTAAACTAGGTCTTTTTAAGCTGGATAAATTTCATTCCGCTTTATTTTGTTTGTTCTGCATCCCTGCATAATGTTCTATTAACTGGCCACGTTGCTTACACTAATTGCGCTTATCTTCGGTAATTTTGTTGCGTTTGTAGCATTTTAAGTAACTTGTGGACATTTCTTATTTATCACGGATTTGTTGCTGACCAACTTACTTCATATGGTAATTTAGCGAAGAGTTATGCCACCGTATCTGTATGCATTATTGGATTTATTTTATTTCAGCTTGTCGTTTAAATTGAATGGCTGTTGTTTGATATCTTTGGTATGGTTGCGCTTGATGTGTATGTTGACAAGGTGCCTACCTGTCTATTACCCACTACATCGTTCATACTGGCTCCAGGAGACAGTTGGTCGTTGCTGGAGGGGACGGGGTGCACGGTTCTTGTGGCTGTGCTAGGCTCGAAGAGTGGTTCCATGCACTCAGTGTGGAGCGGACTACGGTCCAGCCACCGTCTTGTGTGCGGTTGATTCCCCAAATACAGCGTGCTTGTGTTTGCCTGTGAAGGAGTGTGGGCCGGCTCCGTTGATGAAACGTGGTTCCCATCCGCATGCCTCCCGGTCTTATTCCTTCGGGTTTACACTGGATATGGGGTGTGTGGTTGGAGCTGTGGGTGGTGCAGCGCAAGCCATCCATGGTCCCTCTGTAGGCGCAGGCGTCCTGTGGCTTGTCACAGTGACAGGCAAATCCGAAACCGGATGTCGCCAACCATATATATATATATATATATATATATATATATATATATATATATATATATATATATATATATATATATATATATATATATATATATATATATATATATATATATATATATATATATATATATATATATATATATATATATATATATATATATATATATATATATGACAACAATGATGATGACAACAAGGTGACGATTGGCGCATTGGTGTCAGAGAAGAATGCAACATTTGCTGCACATGTGGCAGACCCCAGTGACTTGGGGAAGAGTAGTCAGTTTCGCAAACTTCGACGGCGACTGACCCGAGAGCTCCGTCGCATTAAAAATGCATGGTGGACGGAGAAGGCGAAGCAGGTGGAATGCTACGCCGAACGCCGTTAACACAAGGAATTCTTTGACTCCTTGAAGGCGGTGTATTGTCCGAGATCGGAGCCGCTGAGGACACTGATCGATGGTAGTTCAGGCGCTACCTGCACCCAGACTGCAGACATAATGCAGGTCTGGCGGAAACACTTTGACTGTCTTTTGAACAACCGTTCAGAGATCGACTGGCCTACATTGAATGGCCTGAATCAGCACGATGTGAAGGCGGATCTGGCGGATACGCCGACACTGGATGAGACGCAGAGAGCACTTGCTCAGCTGCGAAACGGCAAATGTGCCGGAGGTGACGGGATCCCACCTGAAGTATTGAAACACGGCGGACCCGCGTTGTTGACTGCGCTACACCACTTGGTGCAACGCGTATGGATTGAGGAGGAGGTACCTGCTGAGCTGAAGGATGCCCTTGTGCTCCCACTGTACAAGGGCAAAGGGAGCAAGCAATGTTGCACGAATTATCGTGGCATCAACTTGCTGAGTTGTGTGGGCAAGGTGATTGCCCGAATCCTGCTCAATCACCTCGTCAATCAGGTTGTGGAACCTAACGTGGCGGAAGAGCAATGTGGATTCCGTTCGTGTCGCAGCACTATAGATATGGTGTTTGCGGCTCGTCAGTTGCAAGAGAAGTGCAGAGAACGACACCAGCCATTGTACTCGCTTTTTGTTGATTTCACCAAGGCATTTGATACGGTGAACCGCGAGGCATTGTGGCTGTTGTTGGGTAAGTTTGGTTGCCCGCGTAAGTTTGTAAGTTTAATTGTATTTCTGCACAGTGGTATGCGAGCGAGGGTGCAGCTGAGTGGAGAGACCTCGGATGACTTTGCAGTTGTCTCTGGTGTGAAGCAAGGCTGTGTGTTAGCTCCTGCCCTGTTTAATATCTATCTTCATGCAATGTTGTCTTGTGCTTTTGATGCGGCTTGTGCTTACGGTGTTGGTGTGGAGCACCGTATTGATGGTGGGTTGCTGGACATCCATCGTTTCGGTGCGAGAACTCTAGTCCGTGAGACAACTATCCGTATGTTGCTGTTTGCTGACGACTGTGCGTTGTTTTCACAGCGCAGATGCGTTACAGCACATGACTGGTGCTGTGGCTTCGACAGCGGCCAAATTCGGGCTCACCATCAACACAAGCAAAACTGTCTGTCTCTTTCAGCCTTCACCGGAGGTGCAATCTTCAATATTGCCGCGAATCAGCATTGGTGCTGAAGTATTGGAAACCACCTTCCGCTTCTGCTACCTTGGGAGTGTGATGTCGACTGATCAGCAGATACACAGTGAGCTGCGTATTCGCGTGTCGAATGCAGCGGCAGCATTCGGGAAGCTTGAGTATCGAGTGTGGAACAACCATCAGCTTACCATTGTCATGAAGCTGATGGTGTACAAATCCATGGTACTATCCGTTCTTCTATACAGCAGTGCAACATTTACGATGTACCGTAGGGATGTGCGTTATCTCGGGCGGTTCCATCAGCAATGTTTGCGACGGATTTTGCGCATCGGTTGGGGCGACAGAGTTGCAGACACGGAAGTGTTGCTACAAAGTGGAATGTATGCATTGGACTGCATACTTTTACTGACACCTAAGGTGGCTAGGTCATGTGAGCCGTATGGATTCGACGCGGATACCGAAACAACTTTTAAACGCTCAGCTGAGTATAGGGAAGCGGCATGCTGGGAAAGCAAAGTTGCGTTACCAGGACATGATTAAATTGAGCCTCACACGTTCTAATCTTGATTGCAGATCATGGGAATCGAGGGCGGTTGATCGTGGTGCATGGCGCGATCTAATCACGAAGGCAGTTGCTGAAGTGCGGGAGAAAGCCTTCATGCATGCAGAGAAGAAGCGTCAGTTGCGGAAGCGGCAAGCACCGATGAATTGTACTCCATCGACATCGAGCGCATGGTGCTGTAGCACATGCGGTCGCGAGTGCCTGAGTCGGGCAGGCCTAGTGAGCCATGAGAGAGGTCACTCGGGACCACTGCCGAAGCGACGACGGGTCCCGCAGTGAACGTAGGCAGCACCGGCGCAGCGTTTGTAGGCACGCTGAATTCGATTAACTAACCGCGTGCTTGCATGCTAAGTCTCTTTATTTCAGGTGGTGGGTTTTCGGTTCTGTCCTAATGCCTTTCTTTCTCATATAAATGTCTAGTGGGCCATGAGCTAGGCCCTTTGGGGCCACTACAGAAGCGACGACGGGTCCTGCAGAGAATTACGGCGAACCGGCGCAGCGTTTGTAGACACGCTGAGTTCGATTTACTAACCGCGTGCTTGCACGCTAAGTCTCTTTATTTCAGATGGTGGGTTTACAGTTTTTACCTTAATGCTTTTCTTTCTCATATAAATATCTCCCT